CCTATGTCAGAATTTATCTGTGGGGACCTTAATTGCCTTTCCCTTCTACAAGACATCACACTGGTCCATTAAATGATGATATTATGCTGTTTGAACTTAGTAAGGAAGACGTATCAATGACTCTAGACTTCTTATTGATAAGACACTGGCATGCTAAAGGGTGAGAAATCAATCCTACAAAAATCCAGACACCTTCAAACTCAGTGAAATTTCTAGGGGTCCAATAATGTGGGGCATTTTCAGATATTCCTTCTAAAGTGAAGGGTAAGTTGTGGAATCTGCCCCCTCCTAAACTAAAACAACTAAAAAGGATATACAAGTTCTGATGGGCCTCTTTGGATTTTGGAGGGAACATATCATTCATTTGGTATGCTGTTGTTATTGTTAGGTACTATCAAGACTGTTCCAACTAATAGTGACAATATTTACAACAGAATGAAACACTGCCCAGACCTGCACCATCCTCACAACTGTTGCTCTGTTTGAGCCCTTTATTGCAGACACTGTGTCAATCCATCCACTGAAGATCTTCTTCTTCTGCTGACTCTCTACTTTACCAAGTGTACTGTACTAGTCTTTCCTGATAACATGTCCAAAGTACCTGATACAAAATTTTGCCATCTTTGCTTCTAAGGGACCTCCTGACTGTGCATCTTCCAAGACAGATTTGTTCATTCTTCTGGCAGTCCATGGTATATTTAATATTCATCCACAACACTGTAATTCAAAGGTATCAGTTCTTCCTTGGTTTTGCTTATTATCCAGCTTTTATATGCATATGAAGCTGGTGAAAATACCATGGCTTGGGTCAAGTTCACCTTAATCTTCAAAGTGACATCTTTGCTTTTTGGCCCAATGCAATAATACATTGTTTGATTACTTGGCTGATGCTTCCTTGAGTATTGATTGTGGATCCAAGTGAAATGAAATTGTTGACAACTTCAATATGTTCACCATGTATAACTTATTGGTCTAGTTGTGAGGACATTTGTATATGTTGCAGTGTAATCCATATTGAATGATATAGTCTTTGAACGTACTACTCTGGCCTATTTATCAAATGTCTTGAAAAGCTACTAGCTTTGAGTGGGGCCCAGAATAAGTTAAGGCTCTGCAACAAGTTCAGACTTCCATGCAAGCCCCTCTGACACTTGTGTCATATGATCTGGCTGATCTGCATTTCTTTGAGTGTCAAGAGCAGATAGAGATACTGTTTGGAATCACTGGTGAATTCACAGTGTAGATCCTTAGGATTTTGGAGTAAAGCTTTGCCATCCTCTGCAGATAACTATCTCCTTTTAAGAAACAACTTTTTGGCTTGTTCCTGGGCTAAGTCACCATGTGGCCTGAGTTGCCATCATAACCTAGGTATTGTCTGATCCACAGAGTCATAAAGTTGGACATGCAAGGCAGCACTCCATCATTAAATGGAAGCAGGATATACATGATCAGGTTTAAGTGGGACCTGAAAGCACAAGTAAATTATGTGAGGAAGTGGTCCAATTGCCAGTGGTCCCCCATTTCTCTTACATTACCTTCCTTCTTCCAGTCTGCACCTATGGCCTCATGAGAAGTTCCTTATGATCTGTTGACTGAGGAAGAGAAAACACATGCCAGGTTTAAAGATGGTTCTGAGCAATATACAGTCACCACTCAGAACCAGACAGCAGGAGCACCACAGCCCATTTCTGGAATCTCTCTGAAGCACACTGGAGAAGGAAAATCCAATGCATCTTTTGTTGATTTTGCTTGAAGGGAGAGATAGCCAGATGTGCTATGGCCAATGGTTTGGCTGGGACTTGGAAGGAACATGATTAGAAAATTTGTGACAAGGAGGTATGTGGAAGAGGCATGTGGATAGAACTCTCTGAATGAGCTAAAGAAGTGAAGAAATGTGTGCCCATCTGGTTGCTTGCCAAAGAGTGACCTCAGCAGAGGAGGATTTTAACAATCAAGTGGATAGGGTGACACATTTGATGGACACCAGTAATCTTCTTTCCTGGCTACTCTGGCAATTGCCCATAGGCTCATGATCAAGGTGGCCATGATGGCAGGGATTGAGATTATACATAGGGCCTCAGCATCACAAACTTCCACTTACTAAGGCTGACTTGTCCACAGCCACTGCTGAATGCCAATCTGCCAGCTGCAGAAACCAACACTGAGTTCTCAATATGGCATCATTCCTAGGGTCAATCAGGCAGAAAGCTGGTGGCAGGCTGATAACATTAAACCAGTTCCATCAAGGAAAGGACAATGTTTTGTTTTTACTGGGATCTGAGATAGACATTTACTCTGAATATGGATTTGCCTTTATACTGCATATATGAAGTTTACAAAGTCTTATGGGTAGAAAAGCATACCAGGTAATTTACTACACCATATATATATATATATATATATACACACATACATACATATATAATCTTTGTTACCTTCTCTCCCTTATTCCATTACTTATTATAAAATATAAGATGTAAATGGGGGTAATGCATTTTTGGTTGTATGTATATTAGTTGTTACCATGCTAAGTTCAAGTATGACTTTGTAATTTTCTTTAGAGATTAGAAGATGTGCACGTGTTCCAAATTGACAAGGGGTGGACTGTGATGGTTAAGGTTATGTGTCAACTTGGCTAGGCCATGATTAGTAATTTGACAGATATTGTGTTATCATCCCCCATTTTGTGATCTGATATGAATAGCCAATAAGTTGAAAGGGAGTTTCCTTGGGGGTGTGGCCTACATCCAATATAAACAGATGCTCTGGAAAAGCTTATGCTCTCTTGATCCTGCATCCAATTTGTCATCCTCTGACTTCCAGTTCTTGGGACATAAATCATTAGCCTGCCACCTGACCTGCCAATTTTGGCATTCACCAGGCCCTGAAGCTCAATGAGCCATCAGGCTGATGTCTGATCTGTTGATTTTAGGTTTGTCAGCCTTTGCCACCTCATGAGTCAGGAGAAGCCTTCAGCCTGAAACATGGATTTGGATCTTGCAAGCCTCCACAACTGGGTGAGCCATTCCCTTGAAATCTGCCTGTCTCTCTCTGTATATAATAGGAGCTCTGGTAGCACAGAGACTAAGACATTTGACTGCTAACCAGAAGGTTAGTGGTTCAAACCCACCAGCCACTCAATGGAAGCAAGACTGGACAATCTACTTCCATAAAGATTTACTGCCTTGGAAGCCTCGGAAACCCACTGGGGTCACTATGAGTTGGAATCTATTCAATGGCAGTGGGTTTGGTATATATAGATACATGCTTCACTGGTTTTGGTTCTCTAGACAACCCAGCCAAAGTAAACAATACAGAATGTATCACAAGACCAAGCACTGTGGACAGTGGCAGGAGGGAGAACACATATCTGGTACAGTAGGGAAGAGGGAAGATTTCATGGGGAACAGTCTTGAAGTCAGGTGTTACAACAAAGGAGAGTATCTCCTTCTGAGAAGATGCCTTCTTGAGTTACTGGACAAGTAGAATGAGCAGCTCAAACCTGTAGAGGAATTGAGTAGTGAACACAAGGAGGGACTTGGGACCTACAGTTTTAGAGAGTCAAAGTTGCAGTAGAAGTTTTTGGTTATGGTAAGGCAGGAACTCTGAGTGGGAAATGAAGTGTCTCTCCAACCCTATGGCCCGGACTATATGGTAAGCTGAGAAGGCACTTCCCTGAGTAAAAAGATTAAGGGGAAGGGGACATCAAAAAAGCTCAGTAATCAAGATACATATTTTAATGCATATTTTAAAATGAAAATTAACGTAAGAAAATCTGTGATGAATGTCAAAATTTTAAATAAAGGCAAGATCAGTAACAGTGTCATGCCAAATCATACGGAGCCTGGGATAAATGGAAAAATCAGGAGTACTGATCTTGTAGGCTACACTCACCAGCTTTCTATTCTTTTAACCCCTGGGGTTTAACAACCAAACTAGGGACCACCAGAGGAGCAACTGCTGCCAGGGAGGGAATAGTGATTGCCCACGTAATACTGTTCTTGCCTTTGTGAGCTCACCCCCACCAACAACCACTGCTACCATGAAGGTATTCTGGGACCTGAGATTGGCAGGCCAACTTTTGCCCCCAGATGGTTCTCAAATGGGTCATAACAGTACTTTAAAATAAATTTTAGTCGAGACCATAATAGTAGACATTTATTGAGTTCTTGTTGTTGTTGTTGTTGTTGTTATGTGCCGTCGAGTCGGCCCCGACTCATAGCGACCCCTCCTTGGGTTTCCGAGGCAGTATCACTACGGAAGTAGGATTGCCCAACCTTCCTTCCGAGGAGTGGCTGTTGGGTTTGAACCGCCAGCCTTCTGGTTAGCGGTCAAGTGCTTTAGCCACTATGCTACCAGAGCTCCTTATTGAGTTCTTAGTGCTGTATAAATATTAACATATTTCTCACATCATTCTTATGAGGTGTGTGCTGTTATCCCTATTTACACTTGGGGAAACTGAGGCACTGAGTTTTAATTATGATGCTAGTAAGAAATTGAGTTGGAAATTAAACCCAGACAGTTTGGCTCCAAAGTCCATGCTAATTAAACTACTAGTTTTAATATATGCCCCAGTTAGAAAATCCACTCCTTGTTCTAATTTCGACCCTACATTGTGCCCAGTCAAGGGCATGAACAACATAGTTCACCAGAGCTTTATAATAATCTAATGAATCCACAGGAACATTACAAATACTCCAGAAACAAAACAAAACAAACAAACAAAACACAATCAACCAAACAAGCAAACAAACAAAAAACCCAACCAACCAACCAACCAATAAGGTCAGTAATAGAATGACCAAATTTTAATAAAATGAGCCCTCTTTATTAAATTTCATGGAAGAAATTAAGGTCACCAAATTATGTGATAGTTCACAGTCCATAGAAGCCTAAGTCTTTTCCTCCTAAATTTTTCCTTCTGGTTCTTCCTATCCTGCATTAACAGAAGGATCAGTCAGGGTCACAGAATAAGAAAGATGGACAAGAGGGACAGGCATTCATCGTATGGTGTACTTGTCCCACTTCTTCTCCGGGTCATAGGGCTCCCAGCGGCTGGCTGGGAAGATGTGTTTGTTCTTTTCGTACCAGCTGCGCAGCACCACCTTGCCTGCGTGTGACTCATCCTTCTCCATAGTGGCATCGCTTAGTAGCCTCACGTCGTCATGCACGTCGAAGTTAAAGAGTGGTCCGCTCTTACCACGTGCCTTGGTGATGATGAAGTCGTAGAAGGTGTGGTAGTGGGGCAGGATCAGGTCCTCCTTGATGAACATGAGCTGTTCCACACCAGCGACCCGCAGCTCCCTAAAGTCCTTGCGCAAGCCCTGCAGGGCCTTCTTAAGGAATTGCTGCACCGTGCTGCCTTTGTTCATGCTCACTGAACGTCGGTGCCCTGAGCCATCCCAGTAGCTGAAAGTGATCTCAATGATCTCGCTCTTGACCTTCTCGCGCTGGGCCTCCCACTCTTTGCGCAGCACCTCCCGCAGGTGATTCTCTTCCTCCTCGCGGTCCCGGTCTGGCAGGAAGCTCGTGTCCACATCGGGATTCTTCCCCAGATTCTTTCTCTTCTTGGTCACCACCGCGCTCTCGGGCCCCTGCGCACCTGTGCTCTCCTCTTCCTCCACCTCCTCCAGAGAGAAGGAGAGGCTGGAGATCTTGCGTTTCCGCTCCAGCTTGCGCGCCTTCTGACGCAGGGTCTCCAGATGCAACCTGCGCTCCTCCAGCTGCTCCTTCTTAGCCACCTGCATCTCCCGTTCCTTCAGCAGGGCCTCCTGCTTGGCCTTCATGTCGTTCAGAGTCACCAGACCCACAGTGCTTAACTTCAGCTCCGCTTCTACAGCATCATAGTGCGCCGAGAATTTCTTGTCTACCTTTGACTTGAAGATGGTCTCCTCTGCGATGCGCTGCTTCAGCACCTCCATCTGCTCCCTCTGCTTCTGCCTCTTTCGGATCAGGTGCAAGGCGCGGCCTGCTTCCCGCATCGTGCCCTTGTACTGAGCCATGGCTACGACACTCAATTCCTTTCCAAAGTGTAAGAGTTTCAGGGCTAGTTCATGGATTCTGTATCAATTAAAAAAACAAAACAAAACAAACAAAAACCATGAATTAAAAAGGGGCGAAAATAACTGCTTTATCAGTGGTCTAGGATCCGCACAGTTTAATAGAACTTCCTGGAATGGTGAACTGTTCTATAGCTGGTCTGATCTGCATGGTAGCGAGTAGCCACTTGAGGCGTCATGAGTACTTGAAATGTGGCTAGTGTGACTGAGACACTGATTTTAAAATTTTATTTCATTTCAATTAATTTCAATAGCCACATGTGACTACTGGCTTCCATACTGGGCAGAACAGGGCTAAATACTGGAAGCTACACAGAAAGAGAGTTGGTCTACTTACCTATCCGCATATCCTTACCTGTCCGGGTAGCTCATTAAGCATAGATATGCAAGAGTCAGAGCACCAAGAAAGCAGGCCCGTTAGCTGACTTGGGCCTAGAACTGGACATCATGTTTACTACAGGAAAAGGAAGGTTGAGGGCAAGATGCACTCCTTTAGCTGGGAAGGCTGGCCATTGAGGAGAGAGTACCTATTGCAGCACACAAATTGCTCCCCTCTCAAGGACACCAGCGAGTGAGGGGAGAAAACTCAAGGAGAAACACTCTGAGTGGTAATGTTATCTAAAGTTACTACTAGTACATGGGCAGAACAGGAACATGTTTGTCACTGTTCCTATCTCTCCCTTAGGAATCATTCCTTTGCCAAGTATTTGTTAAGTGTGCATTGTGCCATATGTTAACGTGTGCAGAAGAAATGTGGTACACAGCCCTGCTTTCCAGGAGTTAACAGTTTAGCTGTGAGAACAAGGTGTCTAAGAAACGCACAAGGAGTAGAAAGCTAAGTTGAAAAATTAGTCTATTGGTGTTTCAGCCAAAGCAGAGTCAGGTGTCACCTCAAGGACACAAGCTTGAGCTGACTGTCTACCATCAGGACACCAGTCCCACCAGTCTCACATCCTTGCTTACCACAGTCACCCCTAGACATACTACACAGGCCCATCATCAGCTAGACTGCCTTCCCCAAGAGGCTCTGGGGAACTTCTACCCAGCCTATTCCCTCACCTCCTAACTCTTACCCTGTGCCCCTGGAGTTCTGCACCTTCATTGGCAAATTATCCTAAATGCTCAACCAGTTCTTGGAAACTTCCCTTTACTTTCTTGTCTTAAACCAGCACCTAGATGTTCCCTGAGTACACCTCTCTGTTTTCCGCTGATATTGAAGCTTTAATGTGGGGTGAGTAACTTTGGCCATTACTGTTTCAAAAATATCCCTTCTATTTCCTATAAAACTCTCAGCTCCTGTAAAGCTTCTGCCACCCAGCTGTATCACTTACTGTTCGTATTTCTTGCTGTCATCTCTGGACTTCCCTGTCACTTCTCCTAAACCCCAGAAGAGTAGCACCCTGGCTAACCTGACTTCTTCAACCCCACACCTATCACTGTCCTGGATGACTTCAGTATTGTGAGGGTAAAGATTTTTGCTTGGTTAGGCTTAACTCTGTATTGCTAGAATAAAACTCCATATTTTCAGTTAAGATGTCATTTCTTTAAAACTTGGCTTCAACCTTGTGTTATAATTAACTCGTTCTCTTAGATAGTTGTCAGTTGCTGCTGCATCCTATGGTCTAAGACCTATGTCAATAAAGGCTCCTGGGCCAGACTTCAGGACTGGCCATCTGGGCTTTGACAAACACCAATAAAGCTTCCCAAGGATTACCTGACTGCCAGGAACTCACAGGAAACATTGCTTTCTTAATTACTCATTGCCCTATCTAACTTTTGGAAAATTGTTTACTAATCCTGCATACGTGCTGTATCTCTTTTTCCTTTAGTATAAGAAGCTCTGATTGTAAGTGCTGAGCAGAGCAGGCATTTTTGGAGTCAATTTTTGGAATCACTGAGACTCCATCCATCTCTCAGTGGCACACTTTCTAATTAAACTCTTTCCTTCTCCTTGAACTCTGGTGTGGACTATTGACTGCACTGCTCCAGGGCCAGACCCTGGCATTTTTTGGGTTACTTTATAACCTAGTCAACACTTGTGCCTCACAGGGCCTTGACCTTCTCTCTTCCAGTCATCTTTACCTTGCCCCATTGCAATCATCACAGCCATGACCTTACCCTCATTCTTAACACCAGCAACTACACTGTGAAGGATTGAATTGTGTCCCCTCAAATTATGATTTGGAATCCTAACCCCTATTCCTGTGGATGTTATCTAATCTCTTTCTACAATGCAAGTAATGTGATATAATCAACAAGTTGAGCTCCCTATCAGTATAGGGGGAATCCTAAACCTAATCACTTCTGAGGTAAATAAAAAGCAGCATAGACACAGAGACATGCAAGCACAAACTGAGGAAGACAGATGCCATGTGAGGAATATTTATAACCCAAGGAACTAAGGAACAGGACAAAGAAGGAATCAACATGGCTGAGATGTTGATTTGGACTTTTAGCTCCCAGAACTGTGAGAAATTTTCTGTTCTGTAGTATTTGTGTGACAGCAGCACTAGAAAATAAAGAAATGCACCATCTCCTAAATCTTAATGCTATCAGCTTCTTTCTTTTCAGTTTACTCAAATGTCCTCTCATTGATCAAGACCTCAAAATCCAAAGATCCTTTCATCTCTCTATTATCGTCACAGCCACATGTGCTTACTCCCCTCCTTACCCACCAGACCCCTTTTCCTATGTCACTCTCACCTGGAGAAACCCTAATCCTGGTTCAATTCTTCACCTGTCTTCTCAACTCCAGAACCCAAGCAGTTGAATGCTGGTTGGAGTAAAAGGCACAACCATTGCTGGCTAGCCTCATTTTAAATTCATGACCTCATACTTCCAATGAAGACTCAATAAAAATTCATTATATGGCTCTAGTAAATCTGCTTTCCTGCTCTCCATGACAACCATTTCATACTTCCTCCTGAGTCTCTTCACACGTCCAAATACTTTCCCATTTTATCACCACATTCTAAGTTGGTTGCTAAACATTCATTGGCACATCACCAATACCTTTATCATCCAAACACAACAGTTACTACTCTTAGATAATAGAATCTAGCCCTGGTGGTGCAGTGGTTAAGTGCTCAGCTGCTAACCCAAAGGCTGGAGGGTTGATCCCACCAGCCACTCCATGGAAGAAAGATGTGACAGTCTATTTCCATAAAGATTTACTCTACTCTTTTCTATAGGGGTTGGTATAAGTTGGAATTTACTCAAGGGCATTTCTTTCTTTCTTTTTTTTTTTTTTTTGGTTTATCACCCTTCCTAATTCCATAAAACAAAACCTACATTTAATTTAGTTAGAGCTCTTTTATATAGCATTTTTTCCCAAATATATGTTCTATGAAAAAGGCTTCTATGTTCAGATAACTATGAAAAACTGAGTTAAAGAAAGCTTAATAACTTCTTTATTCTGGAACTTCCTAGAGCCTTTAATATGCTAATTTCCACTGTGACACTCCAAAAGTGGTGTATTTAGTCTTTCCCCAAAGTTTTAGATAATTAAAAGTTTTATGCCCATGCCCCCTCTCCAGGATATATCTATTAACATTTCTCCAAACTAGTGATTCATGGGACCTAGTTTGGAAAACACTGGCTATGAGATATATGCCAGCCTTTCAGACTAGCTACTTCTCATAGCAATGATGCCTGGGAGCACAACCTCAATGAGAAATTCTTGATCATATGGCAATAAATGTCCATACTAAGAGGGAATACCATGGTGTTATCACCCATCAAATTGTCCTAACTGGAAACCTAGTGGTTAGCCTGGACTACTCTCCTTCATACCAGGCACAGAGAAATATCTCATATCTTCACTTTCTTTCTCTTTTCTCACCATTTATGTTAATGCAGGAAGAGACTTTTTTTTTTTTTTTCTTTACCTAAAGCCTCCTTATCGGTGCTCCAACATCAATATATTTTCATTCATGTCTTTGCACTTCATAAAAAAAGGTAATCTGCATAAAAATAAATCTGATAATGTTAACTCTTACTTTAAAATCTCTGCAAGCTCACCTACTGAAGGATAAAATTTGAACCCTTTAGTCCTACATAAGCTTTAACAAACACACCTCTCCCAACAACCCACTTCATGAAGCAGCCACACTGAATTGTCCACTACTCCTTGAATAGAAGATATCCTTTCATAACTGTAACCATTGGACATATTCTTCATAGAAAGTCTCACCCTATAAAGTGTCAGCCTAGTAACCTTGTACTAATCTTTCAAAATGAGCTCAAATGTCATTTCCTATGTTGTTTGTTGTTGTTATGTGCCGTCGAGTCGGACCCAACTCATAGCGACCCCTCCTTGGGTTGCTGAGGCAGTATCACTACGGAAGTAGATTGCCCCATCTTCCTTCCGAGGAGTGGCTGGTGGGTTTGAACCACCAGCCTTCTGGTTAGCAGTCAAGTGCCTTAGCCACTATGCTACCAGAGCTCCTGTTTCCTATAGAAAATCTCTTTAATACCTTTAACTTCCACCAACAAATACATATAAGTCACCACCATCTTCTTTTCAGGCTCCCCCACATAACTACCTTGATTATATATAACATAAATCAGATTTCCTCATTCCCTTTTACAGTTAGATTAATTCAATCAGCCACACTGTGAGCCAATTGCCTAGTCTGGCTGTACTCATTTAACTGTGTGGATTATAACAAATTATGGAAAACATTGGGTAGAATCGGAATTCCAGAACACTTAATTGTGCTCATGAGACCAAGAGGCAGCCATTCAAACAGAACAAGGGGATACTGCATAGTTTAAAGTCAGGAGAAGTGTGCGTAGGAGTTGTATCTTTTCACCATACTTATTCCATCTGTATGCTGAGCAAATAATTTGAGAAGCTGGACTATATGAAGAACAATGCAGCACCAGGATTGGAAGAAGGATTGGCCACATCAGGCCACAAAATAAAGGATGACTACATCATT